GAAGCCTAGTGTGGTTCTATTCTCATCCCTCTAATTCCCGGGCAACAATTAGCTCTAGACGCCGAAGCGCTGCCAGATCGTGAATACCGTACGCTTGCAACAAAGTAGAGAGGTTGTGCTTTCAGTCTTCCCTCTGAGGGATCATTTGAGGGCGGTTCGCGGGATCGTCATCGATGGTTAGAGGGACTCCAAGTATGATCTACACCGACTCGTCTACTTCCGTTGCACTCTGTATTAGTAACGATCGTTGATCCAAAGCATATATGCATCTTCATGTTGTTCCTGGGTGATTGTAGGGCGATTTGTTTTTTGTTTTCTATTACGTTTCCCAACTAATTGCACCAACTGGGCTACATTATTTTTTTTGGCAGCAAAATAGGATCAGAATGCTACACACAAAATAAATGATTTTACTTTTTCTATTTGGGAAATATAAACTGATTCACGCCAGCCATGTATGGTGCCGTCAGCTTCGTTGCATGAGTAATCCATCCACGATTCGTTGGGTGTACAACATGAAAAGTAATTAGAATGAATCTAAATTTTGCTATGATGTTTTTTAGTAGATATTAGATCGCACCTGAAATCGCCCATGTTTAACACTACCATAGCCGCGCGTGACTTCTACCTTCAACACGGGCGCTTGGCTTCTCCATGTCGTCACAGCTGCGTTTACCTCGCTATGTCGGCCTCTCAACTTGCCGAGGGCGTGGTATGAGAGGAGGGCCCTAAGCCAACAATCCCAATTCCCTTTGTTAGGAAGGAACCGGACGATCCCAATTACAAGTTCCCCCTATTATGAAAAGGGAACCCGCTAAATGAGTCAGTTGATAAAATATTACATGTTATTTTTCTATTAGCGTTTAAAAAAAGATCCACCAACATTTAGAATGACACCGAGACTCGTTGCAAAAAATGGACATGTGTAATGACGGCCGAATACGTCGCCAAAAATCTGCATGAACATCACCAAAATTGCCGAGGCGCTGCCCCGGGAGGAAAACACCTTGTGACGGTGGGCCCTCATAGAAAATGATTTTAGGCGACATTTCATGTTTGTCACCAAGATCTTGTCAGCGAGAGAGTAAATTTTGTAGTGTCTCTAGCCAACCAAACTTGTTTATTTTCTAGAGATTTAGGAAGGAGACCTTGATCTACACTTTCACTAAAGGAAATTTTATTCCCCGTATTTCCACTTGTCGATCTTGTTACTTTTGAGTGTTTGGACACTCTAGAAGGAAAATGTCACCTCAGGGTAATATTTCATTATGGTGAAGCTCTGTGGTGGTGTTGGGAGCCTCCAATTTAATTGTGGAGAGAGCCCTAAGAGCATCTCCAGCCGCGTTCCCAACAAGGCCCCCCAGGCGACTTTTCGGCCGCTGGCGCCAAAAAATCGGCCCAGTCGCGTTCCCAAGGGCCCAATTTTCGTCAGCTCGGGCCGAAATTGACGCCGGCGGATCCAACCTGAACCCGGCGCGCCAGGGGGCGCCGGGCGAATCATTTTTGGCGCGAAAAAGTCGCGGGCCCTCCTTGCCAGCGACTTGTTTCGCTTCTCGCCGCTTCGTCGTCCTCATCGCCTCGTTTCCCGCGGCGAATCAATGCCAAAGATGACACGCGCTGCCGCGCCAGTCAGCCTCCGCCATTGATGCCTCATGGGCGGCGCAGTGAAGGCGTGACGACGCGCGTCCCCGCGCATGCCACGCGTAGACGAGGCGGCCACGTGTGCTTGCGCCGCCTCCGCCTATATAAGCCGACCCCAGCGCGCCGGTGGCACGCACAGAGTCTCCATTGCCTACGCGCCCTCTCTCCCCTTCCTTCCTCTCCCCTCGCCATCCCAGTTCAAAGAAATGGCGGAACGATTCCCAGGCAACGGCGCGGCGGCGAATGGCTTCGGCCACCGCCACCTTCACGAGGACGAAGCTCGGCTCCTCTTCGAGGCCGAGTACCCGGTCCCGCCGGACATGCGTGTGCCCGCGGCGTGGAGAATCAGCACCGACGGGGTCCCGGTGCCACCACCGCCCACCGGGGCGGTGCGTCGTGCGGAGATCGCGCGTATCCGCGCCTCTCTGCCGCGGGCGGCGAGGGAGGGGCCGCGCTACGTCCCCGACAACCCGCTTTGGAAGCCGTACTTCCGTCGCCGTCACGCCGAGCAGCTCGAGGCCACCAACGGCGTCGTGCCCTCCGGCAGGCTCAACTCCGAGGGGCGGCGCCGATGGTGGGGCATGCCCGGCCGCACGCTGGAGGCCGTCCTCGAGTACATCGAGGGCGGCAACACGCCGAAGCTGGAGTACCCCTCCCCCCGTCCTTCTCTCGCCGTCGTGGGAGCTCATGGACGTCGAGGCGCATGGACCCCGAGGCGTCCTCCTCCTCGTCCGGTCGGTCGACCGGCTCTCCTTGCCTCCACCCCGTCAAGCCGGAGCCACGGGACACGCCCGTCAAGCCGGAGCCACGGGACACGCCCGTCAAGCCGGAGTCCCAGGACACGCCTGTTAGCCGGCGCACCCGCAGCTCCGGTATCCGCATCACCGACTCCACGCCCGCTTTCGGGCGCCTCGTCCTCGTCGCGCCCAAACCGGAGCCTAGTCTCCCCCCGGAGTACGAGGAGATAGCCCGGCGCGGCTTCTCCGACGCGGACGCCCTGCGATGGGCGCGCGACGACTACCTTCGAACTGAGATGACCCGGCAGACCCGGGCCCTGGAGGAGATCGTCGCCTGCAAGCGTGGGCGCGAGGACGAGCACGACGTCGTGATCCTCGACAGCGACGACGACGAGGACGCCGCCGAACCGTCCAACCCGCCGCGCCAACCGGGGGAGGGTTGCAGCAGGGACGGCGGCCACGACGGAGGCGGCCACGACGACGACGGCGGCGGCGGCGACTACACGCGGTTCTACAGCCTCCTCGGCATGTAGAACTGCAAGGGCGGCGGCCGGCGAGGAGCGGCGTGGTGAGCGAGACGGCGGGCGGGCCTAGTAGTATGTTTTTTTCTTTTTGTAAAATACTTTAAATATGTATGAGCGGTAGTGTGTGTGCCGTGTTTGGTTAAATTTGATTTAAAGTCGCCGAAATATGCATGAACTCGCCATGTTTGTGCCGTTCAAAAAATCTCATGGGCGCCGCGACTGGGTGGCATCACACCCCAGCGCGTTTTGCGCCGGTGCGTCTTCAGGAGGTGATTTTTAGCGCCTTCTGAGGGGCCAACGGCTGAAGATGCTCTAACCTTCCTCAGTCTCGAATAATTCTTCCTTGTAGCTAGTTAGAATAGTTCTTCCTCAGTCTCGAATTACTTGTTGTAATTCTACTCCCTCCGTCTCAAATTACTTGTCGTAATTACTTGTGATATGGAGCGAGTACTACCCTAGCTAGTTATAAGTGTGATCCACGCTAGCATCTGCGAAGAATGTAAAAATATCTTCCGCGAGCACTATTGGGGCTGTTGGCACCAGTGGCCAGACCAAGTTAACCAAACGGTCCAGACCCACTGAAGAAGCTGGCGACCTGCCTGCCCCAGGCCCTCTGCAGTGTGATGCACGCCGGCAAGGCATGGTACCCTACCCACGCACTCACAAAGTCACAGGTGGAGTACGTGTTACTACCCTACTACAAAACTGAGCAAACAACTCCACTTCTTGCAAGTCGTCATCTGCTCCTGCGGTGCTGACATCATTGCCAAACCGTCAGCAGGAGCATTATTCGTTAGCACTGGAAGTAATATAATTGTTCCAATATTCGTCTCGCCCGCTCCATCGGGTCGCGACGGGGACAGGCCGGAGAGGCGTTGCGTGCGTCATCTTGCGTCGTTCGCAGCTACGTCATGGATGCTGGCGCACGATGAGCTCTGCTCGTCGGACCTTTGGATCGATCCCCGCTTTGCCCCACCACCGACCGGCGCTGCCTTTGCAGTGTGTGACCAGGGCCATCCAACCAGGGGTACTTTCGTAAGGTGGCGGCGATCACTACACTCACTAAGAAAACAAGATTAGAAGAGGACCTCCAATCCCAGTCAGTCAGTCGCGGCAGTGCTTGGTTCTTAAACAGACAGCGCTTAGATGACGTGCGATGCCCTTGGCCATAATTAATATAGAGTACAGTAGATTACATTAGTAGAGAACTCGAGGAGGAAAAAGTACCTAGTGGCATGGCCATTATTTTGAAATTTTGAATAATAGTATAGGACGGCGCTGCAGCTAGTGCTGGCAGGGGGCACGTCCTCGTCCTCCTGGTCGGGGCCTCAAGACCTCAACGCATACAGTGCTACACTTTGACCGCGGTTACTCGGTATCCATAAGCCTGTCAGACACCACAGTGGATCGACTTTTTCATTGCCTAGAGTGGGAAGCTTGCGCTCTGCTCTATTACTGTTTTGTTTATTCTGATGGTGCGTTTTCTCTTCGTCCATGATTTGTCTGGACGTTGCTGATGCTTTACGTATGCGTCGTGCCAGTGCAATGAATCATAAAAGGTCCAAGTGCATCATTGCCACAAGGCTTCAATTTTAAGATCGCAATCTAACATAAATGCCGCGCGTAGTATTGAAGACAGAAGCACGTTTCGTTACTCAGTTCGATAATTCTGAGTAATCTGAAATTCTGTAAACCTAGCTGTGGTGTTGCCTAAAATGCAGCATAAATGTGCACATTTTTTCTCGAGTTAAAATGTGCACATTGTAGCACGTACTACAGTACAGTATATCTCTGTGTCATCCCGAATTGTCTGACGAGCTCACGGACGAAGCAAACAGAATAACATAATTTTGAATGATTATTATGCCCCGCATCTCGCAAAAAAAAGATTATGCCCCGGAAAAAGAAAAAAGAAAAACTTTGAATGATTACGACCATGTGTTCAGAATCTGAACGCTTGCGCTCCAAAATTCCGTTTACATATCGACGCAAAAGGTAAATACGACATTTATAGACATATAATCAAATAACTTGTATAAATATGGAGTATTAACAATTTTTAGCACGAATCACGGCAACCCCTATAAATTCACTCGCCATGCCTCAGACGTTACTCCGCAGCATCAAGCAGCTAGCCATACCTCGTCTCTCTCATCTCACTCCTCTGTTTCTTTCCCGTCGACCACAGAGTGACATTGAGGTTGCAATCCAGCTAGAAGGCCATCCTACAGTCTGCAGCATTGCAATGGACGCCACAAAGACAGCAGCCAAGGCTGTGGCGGCAGGAAACGGCGACGCAGACGCCGCTCCGTCGACCCGGCGGACGGCGGCGCCGAAGCAAGTACCTCGGCAGGAGGAGCCGCTGCCAGGAGACGCCGCGGCTGCGGCCGACCCGGCGCCGGCGACGGCAACGACGAGCGCTACTGTCGCGGAGAGCGGCGTGGAGGACGAGCAGGTGGAGAGGTTCTACGCGCTGCTGGCCAACATCCGGGCCATGAGGGGCATGAACGAGAGCGGGGGCGACGACGCCGGCGCGAGCACGGAGGGTGCCAGCGAGGTCTGCGGCGGCGGGAGGAAGCGCGCGCGCTGGGCAGAGCCGCCGTGGAGGCCGGCGTTCAGGATGGAGGACTTCGAGGACGCCAGCGCGTCCAAGAAGGGCATGAATTACGACGGTGCCGCCAGCCATCGGCGGCCGGGCAAGGAGACCAAGGACGAAGCGGAGGACGACGTGGCACGGAATGGCCGTGGAGTCGTCACGCCGTCGTCAGAGAGGAAAGTTTGACTCTCTGTCGCCGTGTCGCTGATACTGGCTGCGCGAAACACGTGTGGTCACGTGTTCTCCGTGGGGCGCGTCGGTGGGTCGTGGAGGAAAGCTCCATGCTTGCCAAAATGCCATGTCCATCGACACATTTTTTTTTTAACATCAGTACAAACACAAGCGCTCATATACACGCGCATACACTCATTCCTATGAACGTACACACGCACATCCTACCCTTATGAGCACCTTCGAAAGACTGAGCCGACATATCATCTTGAGATTTACGAAGTCACCGTAGGCGCCTCATCATTGACGGGAACGTCTCCTCCCATTGAAAGCGCATCGCCGAAGATTCTGAAATAAATACAGGAATAATGCGAGCACCAGAATTCGAACCCTGGTGAGTTGGGGATACCACTGTCCACTTAACCAACTCAACCACAGGTTGATTCGCATCGACGCATTTTACCTGCTGTTGAAAATAATTTTATAAATGTTTAAGCCCACGGGTACATGGACGCATGTGCGATTCTTTCCGGAATAAAACTTGCCCTGGTTCACCAGCAAAGCTAAAATCTTTATACTGCACGCAGAAAAGATGTACCCACGGCCCACGCTAAGGAATCCGAGGTTATACATGCGTCCACTGGATCAGAGTGTAAGTCGTTTGCGTGTACCTGACGAATCGTATGAATATCATGGGTGGGCTTCGGCAACTTAGATGCTATGGTGATACTAGCTTTTGGGAGGTTGGGTCTCCGATTCTATGGCATCCGAGCAATTTTTGTAGTTATTCATAATTTTCAAACTCCCTGAAGGCTTTGCCGTAAAAAAATCAGACATTTTTAGAGCCGCTGGATCTAAGATCCAGGAGGTCTTATGATCGTATCATCTATAGTGCGGGAGCACTGGCATTCTTCCTGCATATCAAAGTAACAGATCATCGTAAGTGGCACCGCTCGGTAGAGCATCTTCAAACGCAATTACCAAACGGACGCCCCAAACGTCTGCGGACATCTAGCCAAGCGAAGGCCATCCAACAATGTTTTTGAAACTTTCCTACTTTTAAATGATAAAACACAAATTGTGGATGAAATTTAAGCTAAGTATGATATACTATTACATTACATGCAAACTAACAAAATTAACGAGTTTGATATATACTACATGCAAACATTCCCAAATTAAACTAAACTAAACTAATTTGAAACTAAGTAGCGGGCAGTGACCTATTAGGCATGGCATCCGAGGCCACATGGACTGTCATCGCCGTCGTCGTTTGTCGTTGTTGCTGTCGATGCCCGGGATGCCACGGGGACGTGCTCGTGCGTCAGGTTCCGGCCTCCGTGTTGCTTCCCGCGTCCACCACCGCCTTACGTAGTCCCTTCTCCTTCGGAGCTCGCGCTCTGACTAGACGCCGCCGAGAAGGAGGACGCCTTCGCTGATCCGCGGTTGCAGGCATCGGTCTCCTTGGTGGTCTTGGACCGATCCAAGCCCCACACCACCACGAGCTCCTCGTCGGAGAGAACTTAGGGGCGGGGCCACCTAGGTCTTGGCGAAGGAGGTCGAGCGCACTATAGGGGGCGCTCCGTCTGAGTGAGGACCTTGGAGCCCCCGACAATGAGAAGGATGTGTCATGCGACCTGCCTCAACTAATGTAGTACTCGAGGCGGGTGCGCGACTTCGGTGAGGATAGTGGGTCCTCCTTCCAGACGGTTGTTAAGCGTTGCTTGGTGCCTGGCTAGCGACGCTGCAGGGACGATAACTCCTCTTAATGCCACGTCTGGTCTGGATGTCGTGGTTCAATGGTGGGGGCGCTGGCAGCTAGCTCGGAGCGTTGAGGACAACTGCGGCTAGTCCGGCAAGAGCTGTTGCTCCTCCTCCATGGTGTGAGGCATCGACGGCTATGGCCCGGCGGCACCTCCTCGTCTAACCTCGCCATGTTCTCCCAGCCCACGTTGTCATCATCCATTAGCATGTTTCATCAATTTCATTGCCTTATCCATATACAAGAGGAAGATTAGGATGCTCCCAACTTGAGTTGAACCGTAATCGAATGGCTGATAGGTGATGTCGGTAATTTTGTGAGGGTTAATATGGTCTTTGTTCTTTGTATAAATAAGAAAGAAAACAATTATATGAAGTTACAGGACTGTGCTAAGCTAGGAAACATATAATTGATGCCTTGAGGGTGCCACCTTTTCATTTTGGAGTGTCTAATAAACATCTAGCTGATTTTCAGTCATGCGATGCATGCTAGTTGGAGTAGATCAAACATTCAAAATATTTTGAATGATGCCAAATCAAAAAATCAGCTAGCTCAAAGATAAAAAGGCCCATTCCATGTTTTGTTGTTCCTACATGACACGTCCTACCATTGCTTTATATTTCTATGTTGATCATTTTCACCATATTTTTGTTCAACATGTTAATTGCCATTAATCTGCTATCCTTTAAACCTTATCGAGATCTTAGTGCTCACCTAATACCACAGGAAAGAAAGAACAATTTTTTTAAATAGAACATAAATTCAATTTCCTGTCTGAAAAGAAAACCAATTTCAGTAACCAAAATACTGATAAGAGGAAAATAATCCAGAGAGTTATTAAGACATGAAATAAGCCTTCATCTCACTTTTATAAGTAAGCAACGCAATTTAGGTATACAAAATAGTGAGAAAACCGGCTTACAAAGAAGATCAAAGAGAAAACCAACAAACAAAATCGTACAACAAGAAACATGCAAGTGCAGTAAAAACATCACGACTATGATGCCAAGCCTAAGCACAAAGGAGCATGAGGATGGCGTCACGCCACGTCCTAAGGGACCTGAGCTCCACGACGACGTCCCATGAGGATAATGACACAAAGTGCCGCTGCCACCAAGTCTGAATGGACGAACATCAGTTTTCACCTGGAGCCCTGGCACGGGGAGGAGAATCGCGACGACGTCCTTAATAGGACAACAACACACGGGGCCGTCACCACCGTCACTGCCAAAGTGAAGACCTTTGGCTTTGTGACTTTCCCGTGCCACTACAAAGCACCTAGGTCACCGACCCAACTAGGCGGACCGCCACCCCGACATCCAGGACTCCAACTTGCTCACCACCACCAACTGCTGACCCACGATCATCACAAGAGATGCCTAAACCTAATGGAGGGACAACCTAACCTTAGACCATAGGCACGACCGGTCTGACTAGGCCTTGGACCGTCGCCGATCCCATCTAACCATGTTGGATCAGGAGAACAAACCTCTAGCCTCTTCGAAATACTACATGCCTATTTAAACCAAGATAAAATCATAAGTTTCGGAAACTAAAACTCAATAGTTGGTGTGCCCTGGTGCAGAACCCGACAACTTTGTGGATCGCTAAGCAATCATATGGTCGGTGAGGGCTGGGCATGTGCATGCCCTTGCGAATTTCCAATCCAAAGGTGCATCTTTGTAGACTTTTCCTCATGCCATCAACCTTGGTGAATTCTTCAAAAGAATTGAGGGAACAGTTGAGTGGGCCATAATTCACTCCCTGCTTAAGAAATATATGCACCGAGTTAAATAGCGTTCGAGGACAATATTACATACTATTGAAATTTAAGCACGACTATATTAGATCAAGCAATTGTGGTGAGCTTTAGCACTACTTTTTATTAGTACTAGTAATAATGTACGTGCAATGCACGTTTATATTAGGTAAGATATTAGTTGCACGTTATATTAGGTAAGATATCTCTGTTGCACGTTGGTATTTGGTAAGATATCAATTATTTTTTTGCGGAAATGCTAGGATATTAATTACATGGCAGATTTCAAAGGATAGCGTTGAGTCAAAACGTGTTTATAACCAATGGCAGTGGTGGGTAATTAGAGCATTAAATGTGTTTGGTGCTCAACATTGGAGCGATTTAAACCGCTAGATAACATGATTTGACGGCTTAGATGGTTTGGATCTGCCCATTTGGGCCTTTTTATATTGATATAGATAAAATACCCATATGTTGCAATTGAGTCAACTTTATTCTAGTGGTTCACTGTAAGAGAATTTTGATTACTATTTTTTGTGGGGATTTTTATTAGGTTGAGATTGAGATATGTTGTGGGAGGGAATCCATAGGCAATGGTAAGGAATATATGATGTGATTGAGACTGTGCATGTACAACTATGCGAGTTGACATTGTTGTTTGTTTGCAAGGGATTTCTTGCTATTGATGATTTATTTAATTTTTATTGATATCTTTGCAAGGGATTTCTTTCCCCGCAAACAAGGTGGTGCGGGTCGGTTTGAAAGAAAGAGTTAATGGGTTTATAGCGCGGTTTGAAAAAAATCTATGGAAGGAGGCATGTATCAATGGGAGTTGTGGGGACGATGAAAGAGAAACCAACAAACTCCCTTTAATAGTAGATACTATCATCTTCAATGCATTTTCCATTATAAATAAATGTTTTATTATATCCAGATCAAGCAAATATTGATCACAACTTTTTAAAACCATTCAAACTATGTATACAACTCATTCATTATACATTGAGGGAAAAAGGTTAAAAACTCCATTCATTGATCACAATTTTTTCTTGGTAGCTTACCAAGTCGACAGCCAATTTCTCAAATCTCAAAAATAAAAAGAGCGGACAACCTGATTGAAAGATCTACCCAAATAATAAGTGACACACGTGTAGCATGAAGTAACACCACCCTGACATTTTCTTGTCATTAAAAAAAAAACAAAAAAAAAACTTGTCATCCAAACAAAAAGTTGTCATGTTTCACAACTAAACTTGCCATCTTCGGGTAACTAAATTTGCCATAAAAAACGTCAGGGCAGAATTGTTTCGCGCCACACGTGAGTCACTTATCAGGGTATCATACAGTGAAATCTTCTATAGCGGGTTGATTAGGACTCGTCGTACTTGCACTAACTGTTCAGTTTCAGGATTCTTAGAAAAAAAAAATTGTTCAGTTTCATTGGGCCGCGACCCAACTAACAGCCCAAAAGCTCCGGATCCCTAATTTGTAGTC